CAAACCCTTTGACGTGAACTCAAAAGATTCCTTTATTAGGAATGTCGGCAGTCCCGGTAAAAAAATTTCTCTCAACACGGGCTAACAAATCCGGCCGGTCGGAAGATAAATTGTTGTCTGTCCCATCTATTCATCTCCCAACCCTGCCTTTTATCCCCAGAGCTAGGGTAGCAGCGGTGGCTCTTCCGTCCCGAGGACCAGCCCATAGATTTCCACTGCTCTCCTCTCCTCTGCCTTCTGTATATCCATACGTCAGGCACTGGACCCAGCTGTTCCTTCTCCTCCTCATCAGCTACCTCCAGACCTGGGGGCTGTTGACCCTCCATCTGACGGCTGACGGACGGCCCAGGTTCCGTCTCCGTCTCTCTCTCTCTCTATGTGCCAGCTCCATTCCCTCTTCCCCCTCGGAGCTCTCCGGTTGCCCCCTCCTCTTCCTCCTCCTTCCTCCTCCGATTCGGCTGCTGGAGGGGCCGGCAAGGCCGACAGGCTACAACAGCTACCTGTATTTTCAAGTTAGCCATAGCACAAGGCAGGGGACGCCAGGCGTCCTCCCGCTTTCCCAAACTCATCAAAAACTTGGTGGCTTGTTAAGTGCATTTGCAGCGAACCAGAGATCTTTTGACAGGGGCTCCCCTGGTGAAGGTGTTGGGGCTGCTGTTCTTAGCATTTATATTTTTTTTCCCAGTGGGGAGATGCCAGGTGCTAAATATTCCAGGGTAACAAGATCCCCTCCCTCCCCACCCCCGAGATTAGTCTATTCTTATCCAAGAATAAGGTAGATTTCTGGGGGATCTGGGCTGCGAACTTGCAAACAAGCATGCCATGTAAAAGTAAATCACGTGAACAAGCTGCGACGGTCATAAGTGTGAAAAATGGTCAATTTTTTTCCCCCAGTGCCGTTGTAACTTTGAAAAAGTCACTAAGCAGACTGTTGTAAGTCGAGGACTATCTCTGCAAACAGGGGCACCCTTTGACTGGCTGCTGTCAAGGCATGTGTGGACTTCATTTCCCAGCATGCACAGCAAGGACTGGAGGGGGGGGTAGACAGATAGTCCTCGATTTACAACAGTTCATTTAGTGCCCGTTTGAAGTTACAACGGCACTAAAAAAAAAAGTGATGGATGACCACTTTTCATACTTAACGAAAATTGCAGCGTTCCCCCATGGTCACATGATCAACATTCAGATGCTTGGCAACTGACTCGTACTTATGACGGTTTCATCGTCCTGGAATCACGCCATCCACTGTTTGCAGCTTTCGGACGAGCAAAGTCAACAGGGGAGCCCAATTTGCTTAACAACCATGTCACCAACTTAATAACTTCAGCGATTCACTTAACGAATGAGACGAAAAAGGTCGTAAAATGAGGCAAAATTCATCGAACAAAAGTCTCACTTAGCAACAGAAATGTGGGGCTCAATTGTGGGCCTAAGATGAGGACTAGCCAGCTTTCTTTACTCAGGGGTCTGATTTTGGTAACGAAATTGCGGTAAATCAACTATCTTGGTTTCTTTGATTCCTGGCATCCCATAATATGAGATTTGACAAATAATGAGCTTTGCTCTTTTTAAAGCAGCTACTGATATTCCAATTCGAAGGCAAATGACAGTTATATCTGTCTCTTTTTCCAGACAAATAAGAAAAAAAAACGCAAAATCAAGCTTATTTCTAAATTAAAAGAAAAAAAAACCTGGCTTAGTATTATAACCAGTGCCCACCAACATTTGCTTTAGTTTTTGCTGGACTTGGCTTGGACAATCCTCAAATTATGACCACAAATGGTACCCGAATTTCCATTGCTAAGCCTGGATGTTGTTAAATGAATCATGCCCAATTTTAGGACTTTTTTTTTTGTCACAGTCGTTAAGTGAATCACTGTAGTTGTTAAATGAAATCCACAGTGGCTAAGCAAATCCGGCTTCCCGATTGACTTTGCTTGTCAGAAGATCGCCAAAGGGTGGTGCAATCGTCATAAGTATGAGTCAGCTGCCAAACTCTTGAATTTTGATCATGGGACCATGGGGGTGCTGCAACGGTTGTAAGTGTGAAAAATGGCTATCAGTCACTTTTTTTTCAGGGATGTTATAACTTTGAACGGTCACTAATAGGTCACTAAGAGTGTTGTAAGTCGAGGACTGGCTGTAGTCAGGCATATCGCTACATCGTGAGGTAAATCTTGAGGTAAATCATGAGGTAAATCACAGAACAGCCTATAGAGCACATGGAAGAAAAAAGGCGGGAAGAAACAGAACCTCCTCCTTCTTGTCCAGCAACCAACCATAAAATAGATTGCCTCATGCGGGAGCTGCCACTCTCCAAACTGGCATATATTGGCACCAGGCATGTGGTTCACATTTACGACGGTCGACGTGTCACGGGCTTCACGTGATCCCCTTTTGCAACCTCCTGACAAACAAAGTCAATGGGGAAGCCAGATTCACTTAACAACCGTGTCACTAACATAACAACTGCAGTGATTCACTTAACAACGGTGGCAAAGTGAATCTGGCTTCCCCATTGACTTTGCTTATCCGACGGTTGCAAAGTTACAACGTCCCTGAAAAAAAGCGACTTATGTGGCCATTTTTCACACTTACGACTGTTGCGGCATCCCCATGGTCACGTGATCAAAATTCAAGAGCTTGGCAGCTGACTCGTATTTATGACCATTTGCAGCGTCTTGGAGTCATGTGATCCCCTTTTGCCACCTTCTGACCATGGGGAAGCCAGATTCACTTAACAACCGAGTCACTCATTTAACAACCTGCAGGGATTTACTTAATGACTGCAGCAAGAAAGGTCATAAAATGGAGCAAAATTTTAAAAAACAAATGACTCGCATAGGAACGGAAATTTTGGGCTCAATTGTGTTTGGAAGTCAAGGGCTGCCTGCAGTATATTATATAGATGTAAAATATATAGAATAGAATTGAATAACTGAGTTGGAAGGGACCTTGGAGGTCTTCTAGTCCAACCCCCTGCTCAGGCAGGAAACCCTATAGCGCCATTTCAGACAAATGGTTATCCAATTTCTTCTTAAAAACTTCCAGTGTTGGAGCATTCACAACTTCTGGTGGCAAGGAGTTCCACTGATTAATTGTTCTCACTGTCAGGAAATTCCTCCTTAGTTCTAAGTTGCTTCTCTCCTCTTTATTCCCTTCTCTTTATATTTACTGATATTATACTACAAATTTCTCTCAGTGACCCCATATGGACACGTGCTGAGCAATTCCCTGGCACCCCTCATTTGTTTTTCCTGCCTTCAGGAAAAATTGGACAAAACGGTTGAAAGATTGAGCCGTCGGCTGTGCCGTGGCTTCTTCTCTGCGCCATTTGCCGTCTGCAGCACGACCGGCCGTGGCACGTGGCTGAAGTCAGACTGAATAGCGCAGCATTTCTTTAAATAGCAGGGAGAGAGCCGGAAGGCTTTTTTTGGGTCTGACTTTTAAAAAAAATTATCTCTCTTGTGATCCCTTTGAAGGTGATTCTGAGGTGGTTTGGCTTTATTTTATTTTATTTTTATTTTTTTCCCAGGGAGAATCAGCACCCAGCAGGAATTTACTCATTACTTAAAAGGGGCATTTTTGGCTCCTGGAGGTGGAGAAAAGCACCCGATTTGAGGTGATGCTCAGAAAATCAATTTCATTCATGACTGAATTTGCTCAAAAGAAAGATAGAAGGGAATATTGATAGCATAGGGTTGAATTATGGGGTCCTTCGTGTGCTCCCTGGTTTGGTTGTTGCTTGGAGATGTTTCGTGACCCAATTAGGTAACATCATCAGTACTAGAAAGAAGGAGGAAGAGGAGGAAGAGGAGAACTGTGGGGTCCTTGGTGCTCCCTGAGCTTGGTTGTTTCTTGTAGACGTTTCATGAGCCAACTAGGTAACATCATCAGTGCTAGAAAGGAGGAGGAAGAGGAAAACTGTGGGGTCCTTGGTGCTCCCTGAGCTTGGTGGTTTTCTTGCAGACATTTCATGACCCAACTAGGTAACATCATCAGTGCTAGAAAGGAGTGAGGTTTGTTTTCTGTTTATATACCAATTGTTTGCCCTGTTTCAGTGTTCATGTCTGAGTTGGTAGTTCCTTGACCTGCGGTGTTATTCATTTGGACTTTTGGTCTAGTATTAGTCCTCGACTTACTGAGCCCCAAATTCCCGTTGCTAAGCGAGACAGTTGAGTTTTGCCCCATTTTTACAACCTTTCTCGCCACGGTTCTTAAGCGAACCACTCGCAGTCCTTAAGCTAGTAACAAGTTAGTTAGACGGCTTTCCCCGTTGACTTTTGCTTGTCAAAATGGTTGCCAAAGGGGGAATCACATGACCCGGGACACTGCAACAGGCATAAGTACATGCCAGTTGCCAAGCATCTGAATTTGCATCACGTGAGTCCTGCAAAGGTTGTAAGGGTGAAAAACGATCATAGGTCTCAGTGCAGTCGTATCTTCGAACGGTCGCTGAACGAATGGCTGTAATTTGAGGACTAGTTTGTACCTGATTTCTAGATTCTGATGTAAAAAGATGTACGATAAGGGCATTTTGGCTTCAAATTCCTAGTCTGGAATTTGTTTTTTTTCCCCCCCTCGATTCTCAGTTGACTCCAGGATCCTGTTAAGACGGGGGCATTTAGCATTTTGCGTGGTGGGGGTCTCGGAAGCTATCATTTGGAGCTGGAAGGAAGGAAGGAAGGAAGCTTAAACATGCTGCATTCAGTATAAATCACACCCACGGGAAATGCACAGTTCCCACACGGTAGGAAGTCCACAACACCTCCGATTTCCTTTTCTTTAACTTAATCATACCCAAAAAACTTCCTTTGCTGAGATAAACAGCCCGACTCTCCACCCCCTCCCAAAATAACATGTAGGATGAAGGTAAACATAAGACCGCGATGGAGGGGGGGGGAAAAAAAAACCCCCACAATTTATTTGTGAAGCAAATATAAGATCGCTGAGCTTGGCAGGTAACGAAGATCTCTGTCATTCTTCTCCCATCCCTCCAGACTTCGTCTCGGAATATTTTATCTGCCTCTTCCCATCGTCGGTCGCTGTGAAATTGGACAAAAATGAAAAGGCATCCGGATTTCTGCTGGGCGGTCAGTCTCCTAACCGTAAGCATCTCATTTCTTTCTGCAGATGTGCGTCTTTTGCAGTGGCTGGGGAGGATGGGTGTCGAGATCTGCCTGCCTTTAAGAAGAGACTGGACAAACATTTGTCTGAAGTCGTAGAGGGTTTCCTGCCTGAGCAGGGGGTTGGACTAGAAGACCTCTGAGGTCCCTTCTTCCAACTCTGGTATTCTGTTCAGATACTACCTTGCAAGGGGGTATGGGTGGGGGTTGGGGGGTTCTTGGGAAGCGAATGGCCAAATTAATCTTTATCCCACAGCAGTGATTTTTCAAACGTGGGCCACTTTAAGTGGGGTGGTGGACTTAGTTCAGCTTTTGGTACTGGCTACAGTATCTTTGTTATTTCAGCTTTCAAAATTCCATCCTTCCTTCCTTCCTTCCTTCCTTCCTTCCTTCCTTCCTTCCTTCCTTCCTTCCTTCCTTCCTTTTTTCTCCCTCCCTCCCTCCCTCCTGCCTATCTGCCATTCCTCTCTCCCTTCCTTCCTCCCTCCTTCCTTTCTCCCCTCCCTATTTTCTTTTCTTTTTCCTTTCTTTCCTCCCTCCTTATTTTCTCCTTTCTTTCCTTCCTTCCTCCCTTCTATTTTTTCTTTTTTCTTTCTTTCCTCCCTCCCTATTTTCCTCCTCTTCTTTTTCTTTCTTTCCTTCCTTCTTTCCTCCCTATTTTCTCCTTTTCTTTTTTCTTTCTTTCGTTCATTCGTCCTATTTTGTCCTTCCTTCCCCACTCTTCCTTCCTTCCCTCTTTCCTCCCTTTCCTTCCTTTCTTTCTCCCTCCCTCCCACCTGCCTTTCTGCCTTCCCTTCCTCCCTCCCTCCTTCCTTCCTCCTTTCCTCCCTATTTTCTTTTTTTTTTTTCTTTCTTTCTTTCCTCTCTCCCTTCTTATTTTCTCCTTTTCTTTCTTTCCTTCCTATTTCCTTCCTTTTCCTTTTCTTTCTTTCCTTCCTTCCTTCTTCCCTCCCTATTTTCTCCTTTTCTTTTTTCTTTCTTTCATTCATTCCTCCTTCCCTATTTTGTCCTTCCTTCCCCACATTTCTTTCCTTCCTTCCTTCCTTCCTTCCTTCCTTCCTTCCTTCCTTCCTTCCTTCTTCCAATTCCTCCCTCCCTCCCTCCCATTTGCCCTAAAGATGTTTAGACAACTCACAGGCAGCAGGAGAGTTTCTGCTGACTTGGGCGGATCGCATATCATCCACGGGGAGAGTTTGCTTATATGAATCGTTAGCTCCTCCATCCTGAAAGACTGAAACACAAATAGGTTTGGAATTTCAGCTCTGTCAACACTCACCCCAAAATTACAGTGTGGAAGCTTATCAAAGTAAATTTTGCAGTCTTATGATTCAGTTAAAAAAAACAACTCCTAAAAATGTGGAATTCAAGAGCAGAGGTCTTCAAACGTGGCCACTTTGAGACTTGTGGCCTTCCAACTCCCCAAATTCCTCATCCAGTGTGGACGTGTGAAAAACATGACATGAAAAAAGTCCTTTTTTTTTCAATGCTTGAATAGTCACTAAACGAATGGTTGTAAATTGAGGATTACCTGTACCAGCATCAACCTAGAACTAAGGAGAAAGTTCCTGACAGGGAGAACAATTAACCAATGGAACAACTTGCCACCAGAAGTTGTGAATGCTCCAACACTGGAAGTTTTTAAGAAGACGTTGGATAACCATTTGTCTGAAGTAGCGGAGAGTTTCCTGACTAAGCAGGGGGTTGGACTAGAAGACCTCCAAGGTCCCTCACAACTCTGTGATTCTGTTATTCGCAGGTATGATCCCAAGTTGGTGATGAGGACTCTTTCCATTATGGTGAATTTTGCTCCCTTTCCTGCCACGTGCCTCAGCCAGGAGTTTATTTAGGGAAAAGGCTGAATGGCAAAGTTAATTCTTCCACATCTAAATGACGGCAGGACTCAGCGAGGCTCCTTTGTGGCTTGTTAGCTTGCTGAGGTTTGGCATCGATCGGGGAGTGCAATTCTCCAACGTTCAGCTCAGGAAGATTTGCAGGCGAGGAAAGGACCGGTTGCAGCTGAGAAGCTGTAGCAAGCAACCATCAACAAGAAGTCCCAAAGGTGCTTTCTCAACAGGCAACTGGATTTTGTTTTTTCCTTGAAGAGGTTTCGCTTCTCATCCACAAGAAGCTTCTTCTGTTCTGACTGAACGGTGGAGAATGACTGGAAGGATTCAGTTAGAAGCTTCTCGGGCGAGAAGCGAAACCTCTTCAAGGAAAAAAAGTGGAACAAGTTGCCTGCAGAAGTTGTGAATGCCCCAACGCTGGAAGATTTTAAGAAGATGTTGGATAACCATTTGTCTGAAGTGGTGTAGGATTTCCTGCCCAGGCAGGGGGTTGGACTAGAAGACCTCCAAGGTCCCTTCCAACTTTGTTATTCTATTCTATTTTCTAAAAACAAAATCCAAAGTTTGAATAAAGCACTTTTGGGACAACTGTGATGTGTCATCTCTGCACAAGGCCGGCCAGGTTCTGTCCCTGGAGTTGATGCTGGAAATAGATCACACTTCGGCCAGCCTCTTTTCTGGACATGACTAGAGGGCAGATCCAGGAGCGAGACTCCCAGCTGTGCTCAGAGGACACTGTGGAGCACTTCAGTTGCAATCCATTCACATCACACCCTAAACTTAGCTAGTGTTAAGTCTTGGAGTTGGGACGGTTTGAGGTTTCTTGGGCTGTTCAAATCTGAAGTGCTACGGTTTTAATTTGTTCATTCTTTGTGTCGAAGCTCAGGAAAATGTGTTGGGAAAATGTGTGTTAATTCAATACCCATGCAAAGGGACGGAGGATGGAAGGAGCGAAGAAGGGAGGGAGGGAAGAAAAGAGGGAGGGAGGGAAGAAAGGAGGAAGAGGGAGGGAGGAGGGAGGGAACGGAGGAAGGAAGAGGAAGAAGGGAGGGAAGGAAGGGGAAGAAAAGAGGGATGGAGGGAGGGAAGGAAGGGAAAAGAGGGAGGAAAGGGGAAGAAGGGAGGAAAGGGGAAGAAAAGAGGGAGGGAGGGAAGGAGAAGGAAGGGGAAAGAGGGAGGGAAGGGGAAGAAAAGAGGAAGGGATGGATGGAAGGAGGAAGAGGGAGGGAGGAGGAAGGGAAGGAAGGAAGGGGAAGGAAGGAGGGAAGGGGAAGAAAAGAGGGAGGGAAGGGGAAGAAAGAGAGGGAGGGAGGGAAGGAAGGAAGGGAGGGAAGAAAGGGGGAAAGAGGGAGGAAAGGGGAAGAAAAGAGGAAGGGATGGATGGAAGGAGGAAGCGGGAGGAAGGAGAAAGGGAAGGAAGGAAGGGGAAGGAAGGAGGGAAGGGGAAGAAAAGAGAGAGGGAAGGAAGGAAGAAGGGAGGGAAAGGGAAGAAAAAGAGGGAGGGAGGGAAGAAAGGGGAAAGAGGGAGGAAAGGGGAAGAAAAGGAGGGATGAAAGGGGAAAGAGGGAGGGCAGAGGGACGGAAGAAGAGTGGGGAAGAAGGGAGGAAAGGGGAAGAAAAGAGGGAGGGAGGCAGGGAAGGAAGGCTCTTATTTGATCAAATGCATCTTTTGGAGCAACCATTTGCACGTTTCAAGGAAATACAGAAACCTAGAAGGGTGGGAAAGACCTCGGAGGTCTTCTAATCCCACCCCAACCCCAACCCCCACCTCTGCCCAAGGCAGGAGACCTTACACCATCTTTCTTTAAAACATAACGTTTTCAGAGGCATCCGAAGTCCTTCAGTTCTGCTTGAGCAAAAGGAAGAAGCCCTTCATTTTCAGTGTATTGGACAGAGCGGAATGAATAAATACCCTGGGCGGTTTCTGTAGAAAATAGAATAATTTAACACTTTATAATGCTTTGGTAAGGCCACACTTGGAATATTGCATTCAGTTTTGGTTGCCACGATGTAAAAAAGATGTGGAGACTCTAGAAAGAGTGCAGAGAGAGAAGCAACAGAGAAAGAGAGCAACAAAGAGGATTAGGGGACTGGAGGATAAAACGTATGAAGAACAATTGCAGGAACTGGGTATGTCTAGTTTAATGAAGAGAAGGACCAGGGGTGACATGAGAGCAGTCTTCCAATATCTCAGGGGCTGCCCCAAAGAAGAGGGAGTCAAGCTATTCTCCAAAGCACCTGAGGGCAGGACAAGAAGCAACAGGTGGAAACTAACCAAGGAGAGGAGCAACCAGACAGATTTCCAGACAGTTAGAACAATTCATCAGTGGAACAACTTGCCTCCAGAAGTTGTGAATGCTCCAACACTGGAAGTTTTTAAGAAGAGATTGGATAACCATTTGTCCGAAGTGGTGTAGGGTTTCCTGCCTGGGCAGGGGGTTGGACTAGAAGACCTCCAAGGTCCCTTCCCTTCCCTTCGGTTATTCTATTCTATTCTATTCTATTCTATTCTATTCTATTCTATTCTATTCTATTCTATTCTATTCTATTTTCTATTCTATTCTTTCCTCCATCCCTCCTCACCTTACGATGCTAAATGCCGAAAGAGACTCACCAGCTTTTGTCTCCTCTCCGCTCTGGTGTTTTCAGGCCCTGTGTTGCCACCCAGCGTGGGCTGAAGCCTGTGGGGACCAGGAGTATCGGGGTGGGGACGGTCGCTGTGTCCTCTGCGAAGCCTGTCCAGCCGGAGAAGAGCCCGACAGGGTGAGTACGTGGTCTCCACGGAGGATCTCCATTCACACAGCCTCCTGTTCTCCATACAAGCAACGATTTAGTGGTCCATGTGAAGTCAGGAAAAAATGGGTCTCTTTGGCCAAATCGGTCAGTTTCTCAACTGAGGCCCCTTGAAGATTTGTGGGCTTCAGCTCCCAGAATTCAGAGCTGGCTGGAGAATTCTGGGAGTTAATTTAATAGTCAAATGAAGGAGTAGGGGAAGGGAAGGGAAGGGAAGAGGAAGGGAGGAGGGAGGAAGGAAGGAAGGAAGGAAGGAAGGAAGGAAGGAAGGAAGGAGGGAAGGAGGGAAGAAAGGGGAAAGAGGGAGGAAAGGGGAAGAAAAGAGGAAGAGATGGATGGAAGGAGGAAGAGGGAGGAAGGAGGAAGGGGAAGGAAGGGGAGGAAGGGGAAGAAGAGAGAGGGAAGGAAGGTAGGAAGAAGGAAGGAAGGAAGGAAGGAAGAGAAGAGGAAGGGAGGAGGAAGGAGGGAAGGGGAAGAAAAGAGGGAGGGAAGGAAGAAGGAAGAAGGGAGGGAAGGGGAAGAAAAAGAGGGAGGGAAGGAAGGAGGGAGGGAGGGAAGAAAGGGGAAAGAGGGAGGACAGGGGAAGAAAAGAGGAAGGGATGGATGGAAGGAGGAAGAGGAAAGAAGGAGGAAGGGAAGGAAGGAGGGGAAGGAAGGAGGGAAGGGGAAGAAGAGAGAGGGAAGGAAGGAAGGGAAGAGGAAGGAAGGAGGAAGGAAGGAAGGAAGGGAAGAGGAAGGAAGGAGGAAGGAAGGAAAGAGGGAGGAGGGAGGCATACAAGAAAACAACCAATCTCAGAGAGCATCAAAGAACACCACACCGTCCTCCTCTTCTTCCTCTCTGCAAACCCCGCTCCCTTGTAGCACTGATGATGTAACCTAGTGGGTTTGGAAACGTCTGCAAGAAAACAACCAAGCCCAGAGAGCATCAAACAGTCTTCCTCCTCCACCTCCTCCTCCTCCTCTGTCTCTCTGCTGTAAACCCCTTCCCTTCTAGTATTGATGATATTACCTAGCTGGGTCTGGAAACGTCTGCAAGAAAACAACCAAGCCCAGAGAGCATCAAAAAGTCCTCTTCCTCCACCTCCTTCTCCTCCTCCTCCTCCTCTTCCTCCTCCTCCTCCTCCTTCGTCTCTCTGCTGTAAACCCCTTCCTTTTTAGCACTCATGAAGTTACCTAGTTGGGTCTGGAAACGTCTGCAAGAAAGCAACCAATCTCCGAGAGGACCCCACAATACTGAAACCTAACTACTGAATGGGTTTGAGGGATTCCTTATCCCAGGATAAGGGAAATTCCCCTTGTTCATTCCTTTAAACCATGCTTTTGTTTCCTTTTCCCCATAGAAATGCGGTTACGGTTCAGGATTAGGAATGGGATGCAAACCCTGTATAGCTGGTTTCTTCTCTTCCACCTCCGGCCTGGAATTCTGCTCCTTGCACGCTTCTTGTGAGGCCAAGAAGAGGCTCCATATCCATGTTGGAACAGCGACTGCAGATACTTTGTGTGGCGCCTGTTTACCTGGGTAAGCCTTTACCTGCACTTTTCCTTTCTGATTCTCTTGCAAGATGTGTCTTCTCCTGTCTCCAAACAACGCCAGGCAAGGAATGAACATGGGAAATGCTGCAACGGTCATAAGTGTGAAAAATGATCATTTTTTTCCCCCCCAAAAAAGTCATTTGTTTTCAGTGCTGTTGTAAGTTCACAGATGGTCACTAAACAAATTGTCGTAAGTTGAGGATCACCTATAGGGCTATTCCAGGCCACAGAAGGACAGGAAGGTGATGATGTCCAGCATCCTATTCAGCTCCAAATACTTGAAAAAGTCACAAGGTTGTGTGGGAAATTGAAAAACCGAATCTCATGATCCCTGGCTGAAGAAGGGAACGGCAAAAATAGTGGCAATTATTTCAGATTTTGTATTTCGTTTTACGAGAACTGTAAAAGGCATACGTTTTCTAATGGATTTTGGGGGGCAAATCAAAGCAAATTTAAAAAAATCGAAGGTTTTCTCGAGTTACAAAATATAGAATGAAAAACAGAGCGATACAAAGATAGCCATGCCATTGAGGATAATTTGATTAAGAACCGTCCTATAATATTTTCAGATTTTATTTAACTGTTCGGAGTTGGCTTTGGAGAAAGGGTGCGTGCAGGTGCAAAATAGAGATAGTCCTCTACTTATGACCTCCGTTGAGCCCAAAACTTCCGTTGCTAAGCCGGACAATTGTTAAATGAATATTATCCCATTTTACGATCCTTCTTCCCACCATTGTTAAGTGAAACGCCGCAGTTGTTAAGTTAGTAACTAGCCCAATTTACGACTGTCATGATTTACGACTGAAATGAAGACTCCCTGAATAGAGATTGATAGTATAGAGCCGTGATGGCGAACCTATGGCACGTGTGCCACATGTGGCATATGGAGCCATATTGGTGGGCACGCAAATGTTGCCCTAGTTCAGCTCCAGCGCACATGCGCACACCGGTCAACTGATTTTCAGGCCTTCTGGTCCCACCGGAAGTCAGGAAACTAGCTGTTTCCGGCCTCCGGGGAGTTGGGGAAGGCTGTTTTTGCCCTCCCCAGGCTCCTAGAAAGATTCTAGGAGCCTGGGGAGGGCAAAAAACAGGTCTACCAGGCCCACTGTGCCATCGTGTGCCAAAAGCATGGGGGAGCATGGGGGGGGTCACATGCACATGCGCAGGAGGGCGGGGCGCATTGAATTATGGATGTGGGCACACGCACCCGCGACCCCCCCCGCGCGACCCCCGCTTTTGGCACATGACGGCAAAAAGGTTACCCATCACTGGTATAGAGTTTACAGGTAGTCCTCAACGTACGACCACAGTTGAGCCCAGAACTTAAGTTGCTGAATGAGAAAATGTGGTTACGTGAATTTTGCCCCATTTACGACTTTTCTCGCCACGTTGTTAAGTGAATCTGGCTTCCCCCTTGACTTTGCTTGTCTGAAGGGATCACACGACCCCGGGACACTGCAACCGTCGTAAGTACATGCCAGTTGCCAAGTATCCAAATGTAAATCCTAGGACCACGGGGAAACTGCAAGGGTCATAAGTGTGAAAAACGGCCATAGGTCCCATTTCTCAGCGCCGTTGTGACTTAGGTCACTAAATGAGCTGTCGTAAGTCGAGGACTACCTGTATGCAACCTGGAACAGAAAACTCTCATCGAGCTGGAGATTAAAATTCTGCAGAGATTTGGGCTCTGCCCCGACCTTTTTAATCACCTGGGCGTG